TAAATGGATGATAAATGATGGATGGATGGATGATAAATGGTGGATGGATGGATAAATGGATGGATAGATGGATGGATAAATGGATGATAAATGATGGATTGATGGTTAAAAAGACACATGTGCAGTTTTAGTAACCTGTAATGTTTATTGATAGTTCTGTGTGTACAGAGGGGACCAACATCAGCCCTTGCGAGTAAACCATGAGAAATACCTGTTCTCAGGTGGACACGCCCATTAAAGCTACTAAAACTACTGTTTTCATGAAAAAAATATTCTGATACTATAAAAATGAAAAAATGTAAAAAACTAAACATTCAGTGACTGCTTATGAGAACTAGAAAATACACCAGGCTTTCTGAGTGTCGTTCTGGATGTGATTGGAGCCTGGGTTGAACATCTTTGACCAAAACAAAAGACTAACCATATAAATGTAACCAATACCACTTCAGACCATAAGACTAAAGTTAAAGCACCGTGTGAAGGCAGTGTTTCTCTTTTTGCACCCAACAGGTGAACAGCTGTAGCCAGAACACAGGTCTACATTCACAGTGACAGAAAAATAAGACACTAAAGACAACTAACAAAAAAACAGGATGCAAAAGTTGCACATTCAGTGTCCAACAGCAAGTGTCAAAATGACTAACAGGGCACCTTTATTTGGATTTAAACAAACGCATCCCTACCGTCTTCAAGAATTTCAGTTTTAGGAGTCCAAGTGTTGATTTCAACGAGACGTCAGAAAGAAAAGACAGCCCTTACTCGCGCAGACTGTTGATTGAGGCACAGATCTTGAGAGCCGGACCCAGTTTAATATTCATGGTGGAAATGAGATGTTCCTCTCGCAGAAGAAGCAGAGCCTGCCCGTCTATTTCCTGCGACAGAAACTGGGCAGCCAGCTCCTCGCAACCTGAACACACCAGAAAAGACGAGACGACACAATCAGCCGGGAGAAGAAGAGGCGCTAAAATAATCAGGAACGGAGTCTGATGTGACCGCCGACCTTGAAGCGAGGAGACAAACTTGCAGACTTCCTCCACGCTCCACTGAGCCGGCGTCGCAGACAGGAAGTTGGCTCCGTCTAGCGGAGCCGAGCTGTCGGACTGAGGGGCGCTGTGCTCGGCTCTGGAGCAGGAGCGCGAGGAGGAAGACGGGGACAGAGAAGGAGAGTCCTCTTCCTCCCCATCGCTGGACATGTCTTCTGAGCGGCTGGACTCAGAGTTGCACTACGTGGAGAAAGCACAACGTTAAATAAAACACAATGTGAAATATTTAACAACTTTGCTTGTGTGTGAACGTAGAAGATCTGGTTGACAAATTTCTTAAAGCCACCGAGGTCTGTTTGAGTTGAGCAGCCGGATTATTGTCGGTTTCACAAGAAAACCCTTCTTGTTCTGTTGAAAACAATCTGTTTATAAAATAAATAAAATCCTCAAATAAACCAGCACCCAGCTCCGACAGCTACAGGTTTGTCTCCGCTTTATTTATCCGACTGGCCGAAGTTCTGCACAATTAGCAGAGAAGTATTTGCCAGACTGTTACAAATCACATGCAGCCTCAAGTTAGGAAACTAGCTCATCATTGATATTTAGAGCAAGTTACCATAAATCCACACGTTTACACATCGCAAACTAAAAAAAAAAATACCTTGAAAAAAGTTATTCTGAACTTTAATGGTGCAGTTTGAAAGGGTTTCCTCAAGTATTTTTCCAGATATAATATGAAATGTGGGTATGCACTTAATATAAACAAAGCACTCTGCTGAATCCGTCAAAAACCACGTGAGGGCTTGAGTCATGGACCTACATCAGGAAGATCTGAGCAGGTAAACAAATATGGCGGAATCGGACAGGTGTAGAACTTTGAAGACGATTAGGTGGAAATTTAAGCGTTAACTTGCTGCTAAACGCAAAAAAAGAGAGAAAGAATAAGAGCTGAAGTGAACACATACTGGGGACTAAGCAGAGTTTATAACTTGAAACTTCATCTCATGCACATAACATGCCTACACGACTGGAATGGACCAGACGAGGGCCAGTTCAGGACTAGAATCTTAACATATGTTGTCTTTTGTGTACACACTTCCGAACAGACACATATTTTACTCATTTATTTCTGAGTGTAATCAATACGTCAGAAAATGTCGGACTTCTCATTCCCAAACGACTCTTTCATCTTGACCTATTTTCAGTCCCTTCAGCTGTTTCTGCAGGTAAACACACACTAGAAGTTTACATTCGATGACATGTTGGGTTTTTGTTTCTGGTCTTCCCGATGATGCAATGAGTACCTTTAAGAAACGTGTCTGATCAGCATAAACTGCTTGTACACAAAAAAGACGAAGCATCCTGTGAACAGCTCTCACCTTGACAGAAAGACGCTTGTTTGATATTTTATTGTGGGCGGTGTTAGAACTGCTCTTGCCAGAAGAACCCTTGGGTCGTGCAGAGCTCACTGCGGCCGCTGGACGTGGCGGCAGCCCCCCACCACTTCGCCCTCTGCTGGTCTTGTAGTGTTGGCTGCAGCTCACGTTATACCTGCAAATTGAAAAAACAATCTGAGGGGGCTTCTTACAAAAAAACAAACAAAAAAAAAAAACTGTCTTGAATTTCTCAATAACTAAAACATGTTTGATAAATTTTATTTTAATCCCAATTCATGCTTCTACATTTGGGACAAAAACATCTGAGGAAACAAAAATAACAAAACAATTGTGCCTCAAATTAAAATGACAGTTTTCTTGCTTTGAGTCTGGCAGGTTTCTAATCAAAGCAAACTCTTTAAGAGGTAGACAACACTGTTCACATAAAACTGAACTGGAAGGGTTTATTGTACAGAGATCTGTACCTTTTAGCACAAGTATTGGAACAGAACCTCTTGGATCCCCTGAACTGGCTGGCTGGAGCGAGGCATCCACAGTACTCACATTTCAACACTGAACGAGATTTAAAAAAAAACACTCAGAGTGCTGACTCAAAAACATTTGCTGTTTTGGAGTTATCACACTTGATAAATGAGCCAATAAAACTCAACTTACATGGGGGTCCGTTCTCGGTGCGTCCAACCAGGGCAAAATCTCTGTCTTTGAGGAACCCGGCGACCTGAAGCATCAAACACAACGTCAAAGCTAAGACGCCGTCATCCAGTTTGACTTCTAGCTGCTGTGTAACAATGGAAGGATGAACTCACAGGGAAGGGTTCAGCTCCTTCTTGAATCACAAATCCCTCAATGAGGTGAGTGAGAACCTGAGGCTTGACCACTGCTTGGGGCACAGGCAGTCTGTCTTTGTCCCCGTGTCCAACTCTGGACAATGGCGGAGGCAAAGAGAGAGTCGGAGGAGACGAGAATATAGATTCCACTGAAGGAGCTGTAAAAAAAACAAGACAATTTTAATCGTCAAATCCACATAAAGTTTATGTTTTCTTGATTTGAAGGCGACAAAAAGGACTTACTCGAGTCCTTTGTTGGAGCTGGAGATAAAGGAGGAGCACAGTCTTTCATGGGTGCAGAATCTGCTTCTGCCATGTCGTTTGCTGCGTCACATTCAGATTTTCTCTTCAAAGAGCCAACGACTGGTTTTGTCTAACGATGTGTGGGAAGAAGTACAGACGTTACAAATCTTTGCAGAGCATCACCGGGACGTTAACCTGAGCTCTGCGCCTCATCTTACCACAGCTGTGTTGTTGGAGACTGACGTAACGGTCCCACCTGATGGACTGTCCTGGGCTGTGCTGCTTCGGGTCTGGGTCAGAGCCACAGCTTGTGCGTTTCCTGCCACGCCTTGCCTGGCTCCCACCAGCTGCACAGGGATGTGGGGAGGGTTGTGGCCCCCTGCGGTGACCTGACTGTTGCTTGGTGGAGCTGGGAGAATGGGAGGCAAGTTTCGGGGAGACAGATGGAGCGGTAAGCGGTGTCCCTGGGCAGTTTTGGGTTGGATTGGAACAGGACCTTTGTCCATTGTAGTGCTGGCCTGTTGTACGGGGTGCACCACCAGAGTCTGAGTGTTAATGTTGGTCTTTGGGGCCACTGAGCCAATTGGATAGCACTGGGTGGAGGTGGTTACATTGGACGAAGGCACCAAGATGACCGGAGCAGCAGAGGAGCTCAGGAGCAGCTGAGACAGAGGAAGTGCAGGAGATGATGAAGAGGGCGACGGAGCGACGGAGGCAGCAGGAGTGACCGTTATGGAAGATTGGTTTCCAGTCTTCACAGCCATAGAATTAGAGACAGACTGTTGGTTAAAGCTGGTTTTTGCCATCTGCTGTTGTTGGGGTTGCACTTGCTGCTGCTGAGCCGTTTGGGGGAAACTCTGTTGCTGCGGAGAGAGTGGGAAACTAGCAGCATCTTTCCAATCTGAAATTTCTGATTTCACAGCAGCTGCTTTGGGGTTGGAAGCACAGTGTAGAGCCAGATTCTGCACCTGGGAAAGAAAAATAACATTTGCAAAAAGGGGAAACACATTTCCGATTAAATGTAGTAAAAGCGTCTTCTCCAAGCATCGATGCCTCAGACTGTAGAACAGAGGTGAAATAGTTGTAATCAAACCTGATCACAGTCAGACTGGACAGTTGCGGTGGTGGCAGCAGATTCGTGCTGCTGCTGCTGTGGTTGTGTCTGAGCAACAGCCGCCACCGTAGCTGTTGTCCCACCAGGCATGAAAATGAGCTGAGAGGCAAGTGGAGCTCTAAGAGAACGGTTGACCTAAGCAAAGAGAGCCACAGTTAAACTTAGAGTGAACAGAACAACTTAAAGCTGCTGATATTTTGAAGAAAATAGCTCAGAGTTGTTCCTCATCACTGTGGTTTTCACTCTAACTCTTTAGTCCTACGTTAACAACAGAACGGTTCCATAGAAAATCATTCTACGTGCACTCATGACTCCAAAAACACGAGAACTCCACCCCGATATTTCAATGTGTTCAACGACAGCTTTACAGACGGAAGCATGGTTGTGCCATGGGATCGCCGGTGTCACCGACTGTGGTCAATCTCTACATGGAGGAAATGGAACGGAGCCCTGGACTCCTTCAAGAGAACAGCACCGAGCCACTGGTTCAGATACGTGGACGACACTTGGGTCAAAAGAAGCGTTCAGCAGACACATCAACTCTGTGGACAACATCAGGCTCTGTTCATCTGTTTGGTGAACATGGAAAGAGATGGAAGCCTCAACAATGAAGTTTACAGGAAACCTTCTGTTCGACTCTCACAACCCACTGGAACACAAACTTTCTGTCGTTACCTTACTCCACCTGGCCAAACATGTACCCACAAAAACAGAAGGAAAGGAAAAGGAACAGAAACGCATCAAAGTTCTCCAAACCTGAGGATATCCTAACTGGGAGTTTGTCAAATCAGCAAACAAATCCAAAAAACATGCAGCAGAACAGAAGAGAGAAGAGCAAACACAAATATGTTGTCATCCCAATATGTTGCAGGAGTATCTGCAAAACTCAGAAGGGTTTTCTTCAAACACAACAGGACCCTCAGACAGAGGCTGGTCCATCCCAAGGACAGAACCTCCAAACCCAAGCTGAGCGGTGTGGTGTCAGTGCAGTGAGGAATGTTCAGAGCTCTATACTGGAGAAACCAAACGACCTCACAGACACGTATGGCTCAACACCGGAGAGCAGTTCTTCAGGACAAGACTCAACGGTCCAGCTACACCTCAAGGATAAGGGACGCTCGTTTGAGGACAAATGTTCACATTTTAGACAGAGAAGACAGATGGTTTGAAATAAGAGTGAAGGAGGCCATTCACATCAAACGAGAAAAAAACAACTTTGGTGGTCTCCGATTTCAACTTTCAAAAATCTACACTGTAGCTTTAGGCCTGATTCCAGGTCAGCTCCAGTCCGATTCACACCTTCATGATGGTGATCAAAACATCTCTCTGAGAGCCAGGAAGATAAAGAGCCCAACGAGCCTCCACTGTGAGGGGCCAGTAGTTCCAGTCTAATCAGCATGTGAAGCTGCAGGTTCAGTAGAGAGGGCGGGGCGCCCTGCTTGTATAAAGTATAAAGTAAAGTTGTGTGTGTGGGGGGGGGGGGGGGGGGGGCTGATATTAACTCTATCAACATCAAGGGTACTAAGGTGGACACTGTGGACAATAAACTGGACTGGACAGCTAACACCAATGCCCTCTACAAGAAAGGACAGAGTCACCTTTTTCTTCTGAGGAGACTCAGGTCCTTTAACATCTGCAGGAAAATGCTGCAGATGTTTTACCACTCTGTGGTCTCCAGCATCGTCTTCTACACTGTGGTGTGCTGGGACAGCAGGGTGAAGGAAGCTGATGCTAACAGACTTGATAAGCTCATCCAGAGAGCTGGCTCAGTTCTGGGAGTGGACCTGCAGTCTCTGACAGACGTGTCTGAGCAGAGGATGCTGAGGAAACTGCTCCAGATCCTGAACAACACGTCACACCCCCTGCATGGCACCCTGGACTCTTACTGCAGCACCTTCAGTCGTAGACTGAGACCACCGAGGTGCTCCACAGAACAACACAGGAAGTCCTTCCTCCCTGTGGCTATCAAACTTTTCAATTCCTCCCCCTTTCTACACATAGGACAATAAAATTAATCCTGCACCACAATAAACACTTTAATGTTTCTGTCTGCACCTGTTTTAGAACTTAATTGTAGGTATTTTATATTCTGTTATTTTTATATCTTGTGTGATTTCTTGTGTATGTTCCTTTGTATTGAAAGTCTGGCACAACAATTTCATGCAGCTTCAGTAAAGTTCTATCTTATCTTAACTACAAAAGTAGGGGAAACACTTTAAGGGACAGCTCAGGAAACCCAAGCCGACCCGAACTATAGGATTTATCAGGAAGGAAAGTCTTAAAACTGGACAATGTGTCAGCCTCACGGACAGAAACTGGAAGTTGGTTCCACAAAAGAGGAGCCTGATAACTGAAAGATCTTCCTCCCATTCTGCTTTTGGAAACTCTAGGAACCACAAGTAAACCTGCAGTCTGAGAGTGAAGTGCTCCACTGGGAAAATACGGAACAATAAGAACTGTAATATAAGATGGAGCTAGGTTGTTGAGAGCTTTGTAGGTTAGAAGTAAGATTTTGAATGAAATTCTGGATTTGACAGGGAGCCAATGGAGAGAAACTAAAACTGGAGAGAGATATGATCTCTCCCACTAACCCCAGTTAAAACTCTGGCAAGGATCAACTGAAGACTTTTTAAAGAAGTATTTGTACACCCAGATAAACCATTGCCACAGTCCAGTCTAGATGTGACAAATACATGAACCAGTTTTTCTGCATCATTTTTATTTAAGATGTTTCTAATTTTAGTGATATTACGCAGGTGGAAGAAGGCGGTTCTAGTAACGTTTTTAATGTGGGGGATAAAAGACATGTCCTGATCAAAAATAACACCAAGATTTTTAACATTAAAACTGGAGGCCAGATTAATGCTGATTGGATTATTCAGGTCATCGAGCATACACCCAAATATTTATTTTGAACTCACTCTAAGGTACATCTGCCCCTGGCCTGTTGAGTTTCCACCCAGCAGCACCGACTGGTTTAGGGCTGTGGTTGCTGCAGAGGTGACTGGACCGTGTGGACGAGGACTGCTCATCGTCCCACCTGTAGATGTAGTGCTTAGGTTGACCTGCAGAATTAAACCAAAAATAAATCATAGCTAATAAAATCTTTCACCTGCTTTAAAAAACTGTTTGTTGCATCATTTAACAACAATTAAACTTACAGTGGTGGGAGCTTGGGACATGCTATGACTTGATGTATTGGACTGGCGACTAGCTGCAAGCGTGGCCTGGTTTAAAGGGTGAAATGAAACATTAGAGACTTCACAGTTTGTGTTTAAGTTACTGCTGCGGGTAGAAGTTTGTGTCATAGCTTTGTTTACCTGTTGCACAGCAGCCAAGGTGTTGAGCTGCACATTGTTGATCTGCTGTTGCAACATGAGCTGCTGGAAGTACTGCGCTGCATTAGGCTGTCTTTGCAGTGCCTGGAGAGCCTGCACAGCTTGTCTTTCACATAAAGACATGTGGGCTATCTGGGGGGCTCGAGAGTTCCCACTCGTCTGAGGATTTCCATTGGTGCCGCTTGCATTTTGGTCTTCGCTTGTATCCATGGTTGTTGTTTCTAATACAATTAGAAAAAAACGGGAAAACCCCAATCAAAGGTTGTCAGAAAGCATTTGCGGTTTCTCCAGACAAAAACTCCCGATTTACAACTTTATTTAAGTGTAATACAACCCTTATTCTAAAAAAATAAAAAAACAAGATGTTGAGTAAAATGGAAATAAAAAAATAGTTTTGCAATCTTATAAACCCATATTTTATTCACAATGGAGGACAGTAATCATATCAAATGATGAAATTAAGAAAGTCTACCTTTTTGTTTGGAAAAGAATAAAGTACTTTTGAATTTTATGGCAGCAACATATATCAAAAAAGTTGAGAGGATCTTAACACTGTGAACACTTCTTCTTTTAACAATAACTTGTAATTGTCCAGGAACTGAGACGACCAACGGCTGGAGTTTTTGAAGGAAAAGATTGTCCCACTGTTGTCTGACGTAGTCCTGGCGGGTCTTCTTTAATCTGCATTTATCTGCGTTTACAGACAAGAATGTGTGGAAGTGTTTCTGATCCTGATGCACTGATATACAAGACAGCGTCAGACCTGTTTTTAATGCAGTGGCCCCTGAGGGCCCAACGATCAGAGGCATCTTGACTTTCAAACTTATTTTTGAGCTCAGAAATTGTCACTTTTTTTTAAAAGTCTTTTGATGAGACTGCTGCCGAGATAGTCGAAGTATTCCAATAAGAATGTTATTTTGAAATTGTTTAACTACTTTTAGACAGCCAAACCTCCGTCCATCTTTACTTCAGAGATTCAGCCTCTTTAAAATGCTCTTTTTACATCCGGTCCTCTTAATGGTCTGCTGCCAATTAAACAAATTCAAAATGCTCCCATCTTTTTTATCATGTTTGACAGTATTTTGTTGTCACAGATTTTTTTTTTTTTATATGTGTTGTCGCCACAAAATTAAATTTCTTTTTCCCCAGTTACATTTTTTAAAAAAAACATTTGCTATGTTTACTCTGTACCTGTGTGAATAAAATGCAGTTTGTGAGATTTGCAAACTTATGCACTCTATTTTATTTACATTTAACACTGTCCCAGTTTTTCCCCCTCAAAACATGTATTTTCATAGTTGTATTAGTGATGCCAGAAAAAAAAACTAAAATTAATTAAACTAGTTTTTCTTTACTACAACTGTTTAATTATTTTAATTACAGTAGAGGAAAAACTGGTGTCAAACTTGGAGGGTCTACATAAATCAGAGCAGAGCTTCAACAAAGATCATTCTTCGTGGCTCTAGTGAACAAAGGTATCTGCCAGGCTTTTACACCGTCGCAACAAATATCAAGGGTCAAAAAATAAAAGTAAAATACAGGAGCAATCAGGTATCCTCATCAGTGAAGCTGCTGCCAACGTGACAAGTTGATTTTTCGGAAAAGAACATGAAGGAAAAAGTTTAAAACATGAAAGAGATGAGCTTGGTGGCTAACCGTGCTGCTACCCAACTGCTCATTAACATACACTGTACCTAAAATCTGGTACGACTGTAGTTGGCGCAAACAATTCGGGACTTGCAATTTTATTTTTGGTGCAAGCATTAAAAAGTAGTACAAGTTAAGAAACTGTATAACTAAGTTTAACAGCAAGCTAAGTACTTAGCAACATTAGCTGCTTTCTACAGACAGAAAACTAACAGACATGACTCTTGTAACACGCCAGTAAGTTTTGCTGGAGTTACGTGCTTACCGCTTTGTGGGTTTGCCTGTCCTTTTTAAAGATTAAATACATTAATTGACTCCGATATATATTTTTTTTCCTAGCAACAACTACACTTTGAAGATTTTCGCCTGCAGTGAAACCCCGCCCCTCTCAAGTTTTTGTAATATGCGCTTGTTCACCGGTGGGCGCTAGAGGGCGCTGTGACGCAACTCAGCTGCGACGGGACAAAAGATGGGAAAAGAAACGGTGTTGTTTCGAAGTTTACCCGAAATCATTTTTTTATCCCCTGCGGATTTACACGTTTCCCTCATCGACTTCTACCACATAAATCTAAAAAGATTTACAGGTTTTAACGTACTGTGTGTTGTTGAATTGTTGAGCTTGTCGGTCCCACTTTTCCTGCTTTGTACACGCTCCCGAGGTAGGGGACTTGTTTTTTTTGGGGATACCTACCTTGGCGCAACACCGGAAGTCTTGAACTGCGGTTTTAAAAAGTTGTTTCAAAACAAAGTTTAATGTTGCACAAGTGCTTTTCTGGGCACGTAAATCCACTCAGAAATAGGTCAAAACTTGCATGTTGAGCCATTTTTTGTTTTGAATTTAGAACGTCCTTATCAAGAAATTATTTTTTGATAAACTCATATTTTAATATTTGCATTGCAAAGTTTCATTATTATTAATTTTAATCATCGTATGTTATGTATGCCAGACCACTGCAATAAATCCACTCCAGCCCAATCCAAATATAAAAATTCAAAATTTAGCAATACTATTCACACCTATAAATTTTACTAAAAGGGGTTAAAAGTATTTATGTGGCTATTTATACAGCAGCTTTTTTTTTGGGGGG